TATTTTTTAATTTTTTTTTTCAACATTTATTTATTTTTGGGACAGAGAGAGACAGAGCATGAACGGGGGAGGGGCAGAGAGAGAGGGAGACACAGAATCGGAAACAGGCTCCAGGCTCTGAGCCATCAGCCCAGAGCCCGACGCGGGGCTCGAACTCACAGAGCACGAGATCGTGACCTGGCTGAAGTCGGATGCTTAACCGACTGGGCCACCCAGGCACCCCTTTTCTTTATTTATTTTTTAATGTTTATTGTTGAGAGAAAGTGAGACAGAGTGAGTAGGGGAAGGGCAGAGAAGAGATGGAGACACAGAATCCAAAGCAGTCTCCAGGCTCTGAGCTGACAGCCTCAGCTGATGTGGGGCTCGAACTCACGAACTGTGAGATCACAACCTGAGTCAAAGTCAGACACTTAGCCAACTGAGCCACCCAGGCGCCCCTTCCTTCAATCTTTAGACATAAATTGTTTTTGTACACTTAAAATCATTATGACTATTCAATTTTGTGTTCTTCCTTCACTCAAATTTGTGTATCTTCTCCCTACATGTATAGTCTTCATATTTACTACTCCAATTATGTAATTATACCATACTTTACCATTCTCTTGCAATAGGACCAGACATAAAGTATGCAAGTAGAACTTTAAAACTACTACTTTTCACTAAAGACATTTGCTCTACTAAGAATGAAACTAAATTTTAATGGTTTAGTAAAAGCTACTTTTAATCAGAAGTTCTACATCGTCGTAAACAAGAACTGGCATCTTTACTGCATTTAGAAACTCATGACAATTCAGGGAACTAGATTTTAAATTTCTTTGTGGTTTTGTGGGTTTTTTTCTAATTTATTTTTGAGAGAGCCTAAGTGGGGGAGGGGTAGAGAGAGGGGGGACAGAGGATCCGAAGCGGGCGTACTGACGGGGCAATCCGGATGTGGGGCCGTACCCACGAACCACGAGATCATGACTTGAGCTGAAGTCGGACGCTCAACTGAATGAGCCACCCAGGCACCCCAGGGAACTAGATTTTAGATTACATCCACTGGCTGTTTTTCATTAATCCCAAGTAAAAACAATTGAGGGAGGATCCTGGAAGAGCCCAGATACATTCAAACTTTGCTTTGAATAAGTAGCATTGGTAAGAATACCCTACTATGGAATACTGTCGCCATAAACCACATGTGGCTACTGAATGCTTGGAATGTGCTAGTCCACACTGAGATGTGCTATTAAGATTTAGTATGAAGAACAGAATGTAAAATGTCTCGACAGTTTAATATTGAGCAAATGATGCCATTAAAATATTTGGGGTATATTCGGTTAAGTATATTAAAATTATAGGGGCGCCTGGGTGGCGCAGTCGGTTAAGCGTCCGACTTCAGCCAGGTCACGATCTCGCGTTCCGTGAGTTCGAGCCCCGCGTCGGGCTCTGGGCTGATGGCTCAGAGCCTGGAGCCTGTTTCCGATTCTGTGTCTCCCTCTCTCTCTGCCCCTCGCCCGTTCATGCTCTGTCTCTCTCTGTCCCAAAAATAAATAAACGTTGAAAAAAAAAAATTAAAAAAAAATTATATTTCACCGATTTACTTTTAATTTTTAAATGTGGCTACTAGAAAATGTTAAGTTACATGTGGTCTGCATTATATTGCTATCAGACAATGTTGTTTTACTAGAGTATTGCAGTATTTGTGTCCCTATAGTTAATAAAATCTCTATGAAGAGTTACTTTAGTAAAACGTCTTTAAATATATAGGAAAAAAAACCCAAATTCCTTTCACAGGGCTCATAAAGTAAGTCTCAGAGTCTTTCTATATAGCAAGACTCCAGGACTTAAATATACCTAATATGTTTCAGTATTTCCTGTTACTATTCAAAGAATGAAAATACTTTACATCTCCTCCTAGTATAACTTTTCAAACCTGTTAAAGGGATAAGTATAACTTATATACGAGGTCTTTTATATACATTATCTTAATTTAATCTTCACAATATGAAGTAGCCACTATATAATTTTTTTATTTTACCATTTATATTTATCAGATGCTAAAGATGATTATCTTTTTATTCTTTTGAACCCAAGGAACATATTACTTACAAACTAAGGAAGGAGTGGGCTAAAATAAAGCTTCAAAGGCCACCAACTTACCAACGATTCAATGATGCCATTCATGGTTGCACCTATACCTGTTGAAGTGGACATCTGCTTCAACAATTCATAGCACAAAATAAGACACTTCTGTAGTGTTTCAGCATCATTCTAAAATGAAACACAAAATATTCTACATTAGTATAAATGTCCTCTGCCCATCCTTTAAATATTAGCTTTTTCAGGGCTTTCTCTAAGGCATATTGTCTCTTTGGGCAATCTTATCCAATCATACAACTCCATTTACCATCCATCTCCTAAGTTTCAGATTCATACATACAATTGCTACATTTCCTCTTGTATGTTTCACAGGCTTCTCAAACTCAAAATTTCCAAAAGAACTCATCATTACCCAAATCCTTTCTCTTCTTGTGCTATCTCCATAAATAACACTGCTATCTACCAAATGTCCAAACCAAAAAACCTAGGGTACATTCTGGATTCACTCTTCTCCCTGTTACTAATTCCTAAATACTCCTCAAATCCATCACTTCTTTCCACATCCACCATCATTGTCTTCTTCTGGCTGTATACATATCAAGGCTACATTACTATAAGTCTTCAACTACTATGCCTGCCTAGGCTTTTATCACTCTGCACTCTATTTTCTAACTAAGATATAAATCTTATCCTACCACTTAAAACCTTTAGTCATTCACCATGATCCCTGGCTAAAGCAGAAAATTTTAAATACTGCTTATACAAGACCTTAACAAGCCTGGCCCTTAATTTTTCCACAAGATTTATCTCTTACTTCTCTCCCCTCACTTCTCTAGTCATATGAACCTGAAGTTTTTAAACACAGCAGGTACTCTTTAAACTTCTAGACCCTCATATAAGCCATTCCATGGGCCTACAGGATTCCTTTAAAAACACATCAAGAAGAAACAATACAGTGCATTAAAGGCACAAATCTAAAGCCTGACTCGGCTGGGTTTGAATCCAGTCTCTACCATTTACTATCTGTGTAATTTTGGGCAAGTTACTTTTCCTATATAAAATGAAAATAGCACCAACCCCATAAGGTTATAGTGAGAATCAAATACTTGTGAAGTGCTTGAAGCAGTGACTACCACAGAAAAAGCATCCTGTAACTGTTAGCTTACATTATTATTTTTATTCCAATGTCAAGTGAAAACACTTCTTCCCCTGGGGAAGCCAACAACAAGAATAGATTTATAACCCTTAAATAGGACAAATGAAGACACAAATAGTCAAAGCAAGTCAAGTTAAATAAATGATATTAATCATGATAGGCCATGTTTGTTCACAATTTCCCAATTCAGACCTGCAGTTTGTATCATTTTTCAGTTTACATTTTTATTTTTCACTTTAAATCCATTCCTCAAATTAAGCACCCATAATGATCCATACTTTGTCAAACAAGATAAGATGCTAGCTATGAAAATAAAATTCAGGCATATTCAATGGGAAAGTGGAGTGTTGGAGCAGGGATGTCTATGACTAGAGAAATCAAGGATATGGTATAACTTACAAAATGCTCCTGAACAGTAACCTCTTTCCTATCCAGCATTCTCTTTGAGCATACTTCAACTGGCACTTCCCAAACTCAAAGTAAAATAATAATGATGTTTACTACAAAAGGAAAAATTCTAAAAGATCTCCTGAATGAAATTTAACATCAAATATTAGAGCAACTGATACCATTCTATCTTAAAGTGACAAGTTTATCAAATACAACTAAGTTAAAAAAAAGACTGCTGAAACTAAACTTTAAATGTTACTAGATAAAATGTTCAGTATTTCATTTAAAATAACAAAACTCCTTAGCTTTTCCTAAGAACAAAAAGTTAACAAAAAGTTAAGCTTTAAAAACTATATGTACAATCATATGGTTACCATAGAAATTCTTTTCCTAGCTCAGAAAGGTCATGAGTCTTCCATGAAGAGAGAGATGGATAGATGGATACATTTTCTTTTTCTAAAGCATTCAAAACACACACACACACACACACACACACACACACACACACACACACACAACCAAACAGAAGAAAATACTAGAAGGTAAGTTTCCTTAGCAAGGAAGAAAAGACTGTAGGCTCCAGAGATGAGCATGACAAGGGAGCAAATAAAGTCCTAGTTATAATAATTAAAGCTAACTGAGGCCTTTTAAAGTCTAAAATAAAAAGGAACAAAAGGGAAAAACTATTTTCGCATTAATTCATGATACTGCTAAAAACCCCTCCAAAGTAAACATACACTGGCAGGAGTTAAGAAAGAAAATAAAGTGTAGTTGAGATGATTAATAACTGCTGACATTTAGTATGAAAAAGTTATCTATACCTTCTCTATGTGAACTTCTTTGATTTCAAGTTGCTCTGTCTCTTTCAATAGCTTTACTTTGGCATCTTCTAATGCTTTTATTTCTTCTTTTAATTCTGATGCTTGATTAAAATCCTGTAAGTTAATGCAATTTTCCAAAGCTTCTTTTGCCTCAATCAGTTTAACTTTTATTTCAGCCATCTAAGGAAAGATATAAATTGCTTTAACAAAAACCATTAATATAAAAATCTATAGCAAACTGAAGAGTATTATTTAAAATCACAACAACCCAAAAGTTCAGCCGAGTCCAGCATATACAAAAAAAGTTGTATTCTTCCTGAATCAGAGACAGGCAAATCTTTCAGACAGCATAAACTGGTAACATTTTAGATACTCTTACAATTTATAGTTAGTAATGTGACTTTGTGAGAACAATTTTGAAAATATGCAGCAAAAGGAAATAAAAGACTTATACAACTACATTATTCTCAAAACATTTCTTTAATTTAGAAGAAATTTACCCTGAGTTCTTTCTTTCTTACGTCAGCGGGATCATCAACACCAACGGTAACAATGGGCGCCCGAATCTCAGAGATAATTTCTGTAACCTGATAAATTATAATTCAGAGTACATGATTTAATATATGTTCTATATGATAAAATGACACCAAATTTGCTATACATAACTCCAAATAGTATCCACAATCTCCTAAAAAATAGAGCAAAACACACAAGTAAAAATAGCACATATTCTACCTTCTAGACAATTTGGGGGAAAAAATGACCAAACAATATATCTAACTAAAAATTCCAAGATTATAAGAAGGTAAACAGGCACACAGATGTTGAAGATAAATTCTCTCATGTAATACGCAAAAAAAACAAGAAAAATGAGTATAATATCTAATGTTAGGGACCAAAAACTAAAACTTTCTGCCAGTAATCCTCAATTCCCTCTTGCATAAATAATGACAGCATAAGTAAAGACTTTTCCTCTCACAGCCACTGGGACATCAGAGTTGGCTGATTTAGGAAAAGGCTACATCCCCAATGAAGGTACTTAAGGAGATGTGGATAACCACTAACTGGGAATGCTGTATTGTAGAAAGGATTTATGTTTAAGTACGTTTATAAGGAAGGGCTGGAAAAAGACAACCTCCGAATTAACTTGCAACTCAGTACATGAATTTATGAAAAACACTGACAGAGCTGTCTTTTTTGACTATCTCGAGAAAATACTTGGCAATATTATAATAGATAACATTTATTTCTGTATTTACCAAGCACTTCATGAACATTATTTCATTGAACAAGAAAAGGTAGGTTTTATTGCTATTCTCATTCTGTACAAGAGTAAATTCAATAACTTGCTCAAAGTCACAAAGCCAGAAAGTACCAGAAGGGATTTGAACGTAGGTATGAATAACTTGAGCCAGCTCTCAAAACCCCTATGACTAAGGTACATGTGTCACCTCTTCCCTAACCTGCTCTATTTCAAACTGATTCAACAGAATGATGGACTAACAGAAGAAAGAAGAGAATTTTTAAAATGTGCGTGTGGGGCTCAGTCAGTTGGGCATCCAACTTCGGCTTAGGTTATCATCTCACAGTTCGTGAGTTTGAGCCCCGACATCAGGCTCACTGCTATTTGTGTGGAGCCTGCCTCGGATGCTCTGTCCCCCTCTACTTCTCACCTGCTCACGCTCTCTCTCTCAAAAATAAATTTAAAAAACATGTAGGGGTGCCTGGGTGTGATTCAGTCGGTTAAGTGTCTGCCTCTTTCAGCTCAGGAAATGATCTCATAGGTTGTGAATTGAAACCTCACATTGGGCTCCACACTGACAGTGCAGAGCCTGCTTGGGATTCTCTGCCTCCCTCTCTCTCTGCCCTGCCCCACTTGTTCTCTTTCTCAAAATAAATACATAAACTTTAAAAATAAATAAAAAGTGTGTGTGGGAGAAAGACTCAGTTTTAAGAAGTTTAAAAACTTAACAGAAAAGACTAAAACAAAAAGCAATTAAAGACAAAAAAGCAAAAACTACTGAAAACAAGACAATCCTAAATATCATTAGCCAAAACCTCTTAACCTTTATCAACAATGAAGATAATTACTTACAATTTGTGTTCTCTTATTATCATCTGTAACAATGCAGAGCAATCTCTCAACAAGAAAAGAAAGTAGGGATATTGGGGCTGTGGGCAGAGTAAGAATCTCCTGTAAAATAGCCAGTAGTCGTTTCCTGCATTCAAAAAGAAATATTTTAATTTAAACATGACCTTAGAAACACATTTTATCTGTAACATTTCACTTATCCTGCAGACTTAATTACATTTGTCTCAGTTCTTTTTTTATCACTATAAATACAAAAATGTGTACAGACTTTAGGTCAAAAATTCATGTCCTGCAAAAAATATTTATAAATGATCCTACAATCTTTCATAAATCAACATGATGAAATGACAAAATATCAGAAGTGAATCAAATCTTTAGATATATTACTAATCCTGCCTGTTATAAATATTTTTAAGCAAAACCTGCAATTTTATTTATTCTGAAAAAAACTGAATGAGGAATTTGTACTTTCCATATATATGAACAAAATGGATACGAGCTGTACAGGTCCACCTACATGCATATTTTTGCCCATAAATACAGTACAGTACAATTCCATAAATACAATATAGTACTGTATTTTCTCTTAAGATTTTAATTTTTTTCTCTAGCTTCCTTTATTATAAGAATATGGTATATAACATAGAAAACACATGTTAATCAACTGTTGATGTCGATTTTTATGTTTATGCTTATTGGTAAGGCTTTCAGTCAAGAGACTGTTAATAATTAGGTTTTTTATGAGTCAAAAGTTATACATGGATTTCTGACTCCATGGGGGGGATGAGGGATCAGTGCCCTTACACGCTCCCTCTGTTACTCAAGAGTTAATCATATATACATATATGCATATATATGTATGGATATATGCATGTATACATACACATACATGTGTGTATTCACACATACACAGAGAGGGAGGAAGAGAAACGGTGTATTTTCCTGTTATATGTTATATGTATAAGAGGAAAGAAAAAGCTCTTTATTAGCACTTTAGAAAGGTAGTTTAAATACATTTAATCACACTGTAACAGACCGTATTTCAATATAGCATATTAGAAGAACAAATTAGGACTAGGGCTAATATTTAGACATACCTTCCTCCTTCTTCACTTGTATCCAAAGACTTGATAATTAGAATCAATTGTTGACCTATAAACTCTTTTGACATCAAATTTCCAATATAGGAAAAATCACTTTTCTTATCATCTTTAACAACTGGAATACTCTGAATATAACTAAAACAAGTAGAATAAAATGTAAAATCTGTTAAAAAACATTAAACAGCTCCCCGTGAAGTCAGAAAGAATCTTTTTCAGTTCATTATTAGTCCAAATATATATGGATGCTTAGAACACATTATACTAATTCGGCTTCAAGAGTAAACTCTATGCTATTGTTACAAATTTTCACAAACTTATAGGCTTGCATCAAAACTATATTCCTTAAGTACATGAAATATGTTATATATTATATATAATAATGTTATACATATTATATTATATATTATATTGTATTATATGAAAATGTATTAATTAAAGATTCAAATTTCTTACGGGGAATTTTCAAAAAGCAATATTTATGTCTCTCAAGTTGGTAACATTATTTCAGTCACCAGTATTCTCAGTTATAAAGTTCTGCATCCCTTTAACAAAACACAATTTTTCATAAAGAGCACGTCTTCTCTCATCATCCCTAAGTGACCATTATTCTTTTGTTTAAAAAAATAGTAATAATCAATGCTAATTACATGAGTAAACCATGAATATAATGACCTTTTAAAAAATCAGAAAAATACAGATAGCTTCATGAATTTGTATTTTCCTTGCTTAAGGGCCCTACTAACATCTGTATTGTTCTTATTTTAGTGTAGATACTCCTAAATAAGCACCATCAACTACCCTTTTATCCTTACCATCACTACCCAAATTAATGCTTACCCTCATCTAGATTATATTCAACAGCCTACCAGAAGGTTTCCCTATCTTGGGTGAACAAAAAAAAGCTACTTAATGGCAGAATTAGGGGCACCTGGGTGGCTCAGTTGGTTGAGCATCTGACTTCAGCTCAGGTCATGATCTCATGGTTCATCAGTTCAAACCCCAAGTTGGGCTCTGTACTGACAGCCCAGAGCCTGGAGCCTGCTTTAAATTCTGTGTCTCCCTCTCTCTCTGCCCCTCCCCTGCTTGCATTCTCTCTCTCTCTCTCTCTCTCTCTCTCTCTCTCAAAAATAAACATTAAAAAAAATTGTTTTAAGACAGATTTAAGAATTTAAGTTTAGACAATTAGGTACCTTTAGGTTGGAAAGTAATATGAAAAACAATCCTGATGAAAAATGTCATTTTTAAAATGCCAACAAAAATCAGGGCACCTAGGTAGCTCAGTTGGTTAAGCATACAACTTTTTTTTTCTAATTTTTTTTCGATGTTTATTTATTTTTGAGAGGCAGGTCGAGAGAGAGAGAGAGAGAGAGAAGAAGGAGGTGGAGCAGATAGAGAGGGAGACACAGGATCCGAAGCAGGCTCCAGGCTCCGAGCTTTCAGCACAGAGCCTGATGCAGGACTCAAACTCACGAACCGCGATATCATGACCTGAGCCTAAGTCAGACCCTTAACCAACTGAGCCACCCAGGCACCCCAAGCATACAACTCTTGATTGTGGCTCAGATCATGATCTCACGGTTGTAAGATCCAGCCCCTCATTGAGCTCTGGGTAGAGCGTGGAGCCTGCTTGGGATTTTCTCTCTCTGCCCTTCCCCCACTCACATGCACACAGGCACGTACTCTTTCAAAATAAATTAATGAACTTAAAAAAAATTAAAAATTGGGGCACCTGTGGCGCCTGGGTTGCTCAGTCTGTTAAGCATCCGACTTCGGCTCAAGTCATGATCTCACAGTTCGTGGGTTCAAGCCCGGCGTCGGGTTCTGTGCTGACAGCTCAGAGCCTGGAGCCTGTTTCAGATTCTGTGTCTCCCTCTCTCTCTGCCCCTCCCCGTTCATGTTCTCTGTCTCAAAAATAAATACACAGTTAAAAAAAAAAAATTTTTTTTTTTGTTTTTGTGGGGGCACCTGGGTGACTCAGTCGGTTAAATTGTTCAACTTCAGCTCAGGTCATGATTCACAGTTCACGAGTTCAGGCCCCACACCAGGCTCTGTGCTGACCGCTCAGAGTCTGGAGCCTGCTTCAGATTCTGTGTCTCCCTTTCTCTCTGCCCCTCCCCTGCTCATGCTCTCTCTCTCACTCTTCTCTCAAAAATAAACTAACAAAAAAAATCCCTGATTTCTTTATGTGAATACGTCAGTTAACAGGAAATTGTTTCATATCAGAATTATGAATCACTAACTCTTCCTGCTACAAAATGTCTGAAAATATATTCCTGAGATTATCAGGAAGCAATTTTCCATTTAATTTTGTTTCTGTACCTGAATAAACTAATCCTATCCAGTGATGTTCCTCCAAAAAGAAAACCATTCTATTTCTTAAAGTATTCTTTCAATAGTAATTAAACTACAATTTTTAAAGTTTTCTTCTTTACAAGTGAAAAAACGCAAGTTGATTAAAGTTACCTACTTCAAAATCCAGATTAAGTGACAAGGAAATATAAGAATCCCTGACTTCTTAGAGCCAAAAGAACCAAGCTCCTTACCTGTATTTCAGTAAGAATTAATCTGTGAAGCAATCCTTGAGGAGAGGCTCTCCCTGTTATTTAAGTATTTATTTCCTAATATTCTTTATCTTCTATAAGCATCTATTACTTTTATATCAAGTCATATTGTTAAGCATTGCATCAAACTCCTTAATTTTGGAAACACTGCAACATGGCCCAAACAGCATTATAATGAATACTCTAATTAAATATTAAAGCCTGAAACAACTACTATTGAAACAGTAGATGCACACATATTTTTTTATGATATTACTATGAACTGAGGCTATAAGTTTCCATATTGGGCTCACATTTAAGATATTTACCCTGGATTCAATATTTTGCACACAAATTAAAATGCATTTATAGTTTCGACTCCTGACTTATGTTGAATCATCATTAAGCAAAAGCAGAATACTATATTTATATTCCATACAAAGAGAATTCAGGCTTGTAATTCATATTCTATGGAAGAAGCTTTTTAAAAAATGCATCAAAAGCGTAAAGTTAAAAACTCTACACACCAAAACCTACCAAAATATACATAACCTTTGGTCCAGCAATTTTACTTCTGGGAATCAACTCCACAAAATCCCAAACATACATAACAATGTATGATTTAACAAAACGTTATCAGTGAAAACTGGAAATCATGTTAAATGTCCATTAACAGAGGAGTAAATCAAATATTGCCTTCATACTATGAAATGGCATCTTGTTAAGAGTGTGATAAATTTATATGTACCAACGTATAATGATCTCAGATATAAGTAGTTGAGGAAAAATGTATAGTGTGATATCTTAAAAAAAATCATGCATTTTCATATACGTGCATGTAAATGCAGAGAAAGAGATTTGAATGTATATACCCCAAATTGTTAACTCTAAGATAAATGGAATTGAGGAATTCAATGGAATTGAGGGTGATAGAAAAATTCCAGGGGTACCTGGGTGGCTCAGGCAGTTAAGTGACCGACTCTTTAGATCTCTGCTCAGGTCATGATCTCATGGTTGTGAGATTGAGCCATGTGACAGGCTATGCACTGAGCCTGGAGCCTGCTTGGGAGTCTCTCTCTCCCTCTCTCTGTCCATCCCACAAATGCTCTCGCTCTCTCAAAAGAAATAAACATTTAAAAGAAAAGAACTTCCACATTTTTCTTCTACATATTTCTATATTTGAATTTTGACAAGAACTGCATTCATGTTTTAATGGTATGATTTTAAAATAAAATTAAAAATCAGAATTAAAATAATGAAAAAGGTGTATTTTGAAAAAATTTTTTAAAAAACAAAAAGCCAAACAGTGACAGTCTTAATTAATACTAAAACTGGCCTCAAAGGTTCACCCTCTCAGTCAGAAAACTATGGCCCATGCACCAGATACAGCCTGCTGCTTATTCTTATACAGTGTGCAAGCTAAGAGTTTTACATTTTTAAATGAAAGCTTGTTTATATATAGATGTATACACACACATCTGAAAATACCTATGAAAATTATATGAAGTTCAAATTTTAGTGTCTATAAACGTTGATAAAAGTTTTGTCGGAAAACAGTTACAATCATTCATCACATACTCTTTGGCTGCTTTTGTAACACCACACCATAATTTTCATTATGACACAGTATGGCCTACAGACCTAAATATTTACTGTCTGACCCTTAGAAAAGGTTTGCCCAACAATTTCAAAAGTAACACATCATCACCTTTATGTAGAAATGTTCATATTCATACCCTACCAGCTTTAAGGAAATACCGTAAACATGTTGACTTTCTGCTCTTTCAGTATACTGTCCAGTACAGAGTATTCTTCAGAAAGACTCAATGTACATTCCTATTTATCCTTGCCTATCCAAAAAAAAATGGTTTTGAACTGATTCCCAATCCAGCTTGACTTTGACAGAGGGGTATAGAGGACTGAAACATACAGCACCAAAACTACAATACAAACAAAAGCAAAGAATTTTACCTTAGTAAATACTCTGCATATACTACAGGCTCTGGCAAAATCTGCTCCAAAACTTCTTCACCTTCATCTCCTTTCGATTTCACATATTCACAAAGGACACGCCAATACAAAGCGTTTTCAGGAGTTAATGTTTCCAATGGAATCAGTTTCCTTAATTTAAAAGGGAGAGAATAAGACAAAACATAAGCTTAATATCCAGGTAAAAGTTTGAACTGAGTAGGGGCACCCGGGTAGCTCAGTCAGTTAAGCGTCCATCTCTTGATTTTTGCTCAGGTCATGACCTCACAGTTCATGAGATCAACCCCCACATTGGGCTCTGCATTGACAGCAAGGAGCCTGCTTTGGATTCTCTCTCCCTTTCTCTCTGCCCATCTCCCATTCATACATGCTCTCTCTTGCTCTTTCAAAATAAATAAACTTAAAAAAGAATTTTGAACTGAGTATAAAAAAATGGGAAAAGCAGACTTGATTTATAACCAGCATCCTTTAATTGCAAAGTCATTAACTTATTCACACATACACAAATAAAAACATTCAAAGCAAAAGAAAAAAAAAAGAATCAAACATACAATAGGGATGCATATTGTTGGACTTTCCATGGTAAGCTAATGCAAAAACCAAAGTAACAAAATGAGAAAAAAAATGCAGCTAAAGTTGTCTATGCAGATAAAGTAGTGAGTTCTTATACAAAAAGAATAAAAAAGACATCCACCACAGTAAAGAAAACACAAGTGGGGTAGATAAAAAGTACTGATACAATCTGAAGTAATCAGAAAAGGGGACTAATTTTAATTGCAGAAGTTCATCATTATCACATTTCAAATAATGAGTATATACCTGCCATCGTTACTTTTACAGATTTCTGCCAGCTCATTAAGAGGAGTCACTGAAAATAAGGCATTCAGAACAGAGACTGCCACTTCAGAAGAATTTTCCACATCCAACCGATGAAGCAACTCTAATATATTTCCTTCAGTGAAACGTAACCAGCCTTGGAGAAGATGCTTCTGCATTGCTTGTTTTACAGCATCTGTTAAGTCATTTGAAATATAAGTGAACAGAGGCTCCCTCTAGCTTCCATTTCCTATATTTTGTCTGTATTAATCACCTTTTATCATCAGATCAGTGTTGACATAAAATCAGTATTTATAATAAAAATAGAGACTAAGAGGAAGAACAAGGAAAAATACTGGAGAAGAAAATAAAAGTACAATAATACTGCAAAAGTCACTATGCTGTCCACTTCCAAGTAATAATGGAAAAGTTCAAATCAAATACCCAACTACTATCACAGCCTATAAAAATATCTGCATTCCTTCTCCCCTGGATTCACTGGACTTCAAGTGTTAGTCCTGACATTATGATAGCTATTATTTCACCCATTGCCTGACTTCATCTGTTACACGCTTGCTATTTGCAATACTGAATCACTTAAGCATATATCACTGAACAAAATTTATTCTTAGTTTTTAAGTCATCCTCTTAGTCATTAGTCTTCTGACAATGTTTTGAAACTCAAGTTTTCTTGCTACAGCAAAATTAAGCCATCTGAGCCTTCTCATGGGGACTAGAAATTTAAAATATATCATTCCTCATCATTCCCATAAGCAGATTCTCTAGTTTTAACAAAGACAAAAAGAATTTTAAAAAGGTAGGAAAATTATACTAGTCTGATAATTCCTAAATTCTGTTTCTACAGCACAGGACACCTTCCTATCAAGATATACACAAAGGGGATAGATGGCACATTTTTAGAAGACAGAGAGTTCAAAAAGATATCCTGCACTACATCTGATATAAATTAGCTATACATCCTTAAGATATAGTTTCTTCATCTTTACAGATGTGTTTTACAACACAGGAAAATTAAAACAAATTCTGCTCCTTTAATTACCACGATCTTTAACCTTATGAAATGTTTTCTACATGACATACCAAGCTAAATTTTGACAGACTGAGGCAATGGTAGGCTTACTTCACATAATTAAGGAAACATGTTTTCTAAACCTTGTAAGTCTACTAAACCAAAATCTTCTCAAGTTATGTATTTAAAGAAGTCGATCTTACCTGATCTGTCATTAAGACCTTGTTGAAGAAGCATGACTCTCTGAGCAATGGACATAGCTCTCATATGAACCTTTTCAGCTAAAACCTTAAAAAGATAAGGTGGTCATTAAACTCAACATAGTCTATATATTTCATAACTAGTAATATCTCCTTCATCTAAGAAAATAACCCATAATTTCTAAAACAAATTAATATCTGGAACACATTTAATGCAATAAGATTTTACCTAAATTACCTATACTCTCCATCCATAAATATCTCACTGAAGAAATCATTATATGCCAAATATTCTTCAAAAGCATTTTAAGAATGCAAGTTATTAGACTGACTTACTTGATAAGCCAGCTTTCTCACAGCCTCCTTCACATCCTTGGTGCGCCCTACAATTTTTGGTAAAGTTTTTGCTGATGGTGCAATACATGATAACACTGCCCGCCTAACTTCTGGATTTGAATCATTTTCAATCAAAGTAGCATATGCTAAAAAAAGAGCAATACATTTTAGTACATTAAAGAAATATTTAACAAGTCATAAGATAGCCCACATTTTGATATTTAACAATATCCTTAAAATGATATTCATTTTTTTTAGTCTTACACATTTAATTTTACCTGAAGATTCTTTTCTGCCAACTTCCCTAAAGAAAAAAAAAAAAAAAAAAAAACAGAATAAGAGAAGCACCTAGGTGGTTCAGTCAATTGAGCATCTGACTCTTGATTTTGGCTCAGGTCACAATCTCACAGCTGGTTAGTTGGAGCCGCACACTGCACTGGCAGGGCAGAGCCTGCTTGGGATTCTCTCTCCTATTTCTCTGACCCTCCCTCTCTCTCCAAATAAACTTTTAAAAAGAATAGAATAAGAAATTTGTCAAAGGACTAGGCACATAGGCTAAAACTGAAAACAAAGAGCCCTAAAGATCATGGAAAAATTTATCATTAAGATTATGTCTTCGCCACTCTTCAAGATTTAGAAGAAAGTCTAGTATTGCAGGCAGTTTATTTTAAACTAACAATGCTTTTTAAAGGGCTAATTATTTTGATTTTTAATGAGTCCTAAAGAAATTACTTCTGATTTTGCTCACTGAAACAAATCCATTTCCTGTATTTAAGTATTTATTCACCTCTACTTCTCAAATTTTCCCCATCTTTATTATTAAGTACATGTTGGCTACTAAACATATATTTTATACAATACTATGTGTACCATTTAACACCAAAAATATTAACTATCATTAGTTATCAAAATTGATTATAAAGCTAGTAAGAGGGACAAAGACAAAAGTGAAAAAGGTCCCATAATGTAGCCAGACCTATATAGAAAAGTAGAATATGACTATCTTTATGAGCCCAGAAGTAGGGAATAATTTCTTAAATGAAAGAAAATGCAAATCAAAAGAAAAAAAAGTGCAAATCATAATAAAGGCAGAGACCGAGTAATTTTGACATTAGGAATTTCTGTCCAACAAGACGTCCCAAAGAGAGTGAAACAAAGAACCATCTAAAGTTGAAAGAGATCAACAATTCATATAAGCCAAAAATTTCTTTCCAAAATATATAAAGAATTCCAGTAAATCAATAAGACAAACCAACAGAAAAAATGAGAACACATTGACATTATATAGAAGAAACATAACTGTTAAATAAATGAAAAGATGCATAAAAAGGATATATATCATACACACAACTGGATTAAAAAAAATTATTAAATCTGACAATATCAAACACTGGAGAGAATATGGATCAACGAATGCTTTTATTCACTGTTACTGGGAATATTAATTGGTAAACTATTTTGTAGAACAACTGTACCTTATCTGATAAAGTTGAATGCACACATATCCCAACAAGTCCACACTAGGTACATACCTTAGAAACTCTTAAAAAAAATTTTTTTTTAATGTTTATTTTTGAGACAGAGAGAGACAGAGCATGAACGGGGGAGGGTCAGATAGAGGGAGACACAGATTCTGAAACAGGCTCCAGGCTCTGAGCTGTCAGCACAGAGCCTGACGTGGGGCTTGAACTCACGGACCACGAGATCATGACCTGAGCCGAAGTCAGGCGCTTAACCGACTGAGCCACCCAGGCGCCCCCCCCAGAAACTCTTTAACCTGTGTACCAGAAGCCAGGTATAAGGAAGTTCATAGCAACAACATTACTTTTTCAGAGCAAAATAACTGGAAACTAGAAGGTCTACCAATATTAGAAATAATAAACCGTGTTACATTTATACAACACAATGCTATAAAACAGTAAATAAGGGGCACCTGGGTGGCTCAGTCAGTTAAGCATCTGACTTTGGGTCATGATCTCACGGTTCAGTTTGTTAGTTCGAACCCCACATCGGGGTTTCTGTTGTCAGCACAAAGCTCACTTGGGATCTTCTGTCTCTCTCTCACTCTCTGCTCCTTCCCCGTTTCCGCTCTCTCTCAAAAATAAACATTTAAAATAATTTAAAAAAACAAAACAGTAAATAAATATTATCAACATGGATGAATGTTACAATTATAATTGTTGAAAGCAGAAAAATATGATTCACATAGCATACAAAATGATAGGCAAAACTTTTTAGAGATACACACAAATGGCTGTTTAAACACAAAGGCAAAAGAATAATTAACACAAAATTCAGGGTAACCATGAACTGTGAGGGCAAGTGATGTAATTGGGGTGGGATGTAAAACAGGCTTCAAAGGTACTGATGATTCTATTTTATTTTAATGTTTATTTTTGAGAGAGAGAGAGAGAGAATGCGGCCAGGGGAGGGGCAGAGAGACACAGAATCCAAAACAGGCTCCAGGCTCTGAGCTGTCAGTACAGAGCCCAACACGGGGTTCCAACTCATGAACCATGACATTGTGACCTGAGCCAAAGTCAGACACTTAACCGACTGAGCCACCCAGGTGCCTTGAGGCTCTATTTTTTTAAGCTGGGTGGTAGCTACTTGGGTATTTTTAAAAGTCATATATTTATACATATACATATAAAACCTATACTTTTCCATAGAGAGAAAGAGAGAGCCAGAGAGAGAATACATTCAAAAATAAAACAAAAAACAAAAAACAAAAAACCCTCTCTAATGAGAATTTAACAAAGTCAAGGAAACTGAAAAGGAATTTAGGAGGCTACACATACCTTTAACCACTGGACACTCATCATCTTTGGGATCCTGAAGTCGTGAAAGAGCCAGAACTGCCTGTATCCTCACATTTGGAATTTTATCTTTCAATCTAATAAGCATGGCTTCATTAATTTTATCAAACAAATCATCATCAATCTGGGCGTTTTCTGGCATACTTCCCAAGAGCTTGTTTATGAGCTGGCATGCTCTAAATCTAACTGCATTGCTGTTTGCTTCATGAGACTGAAACGGAAACAAATCAAAATTTATTTACAATCACATACCACTTGAATTCTAGAGGTTTAAAATACAAAAAGTTACCAAATCCATTACCTGCAGAGAAACAAGATTACCTTGATCCCTATGTATACTAAACATACATTACATCAAGTCCCACAATATACACAGCTCAAAGTAAGTATAAGCTCAACTACAAGAGCATACTTCTGTTGTAGGAATTCTTCTAAAATAGCTCATTTAAAACAAATGACGTGAGAACTGGCTCACAGAGGTCATTAAAAATTTAATGCTGGAATTACTTTAAGTCCACTTTTTAATCCTAATGACAGTTCTAATATTTCCTACAAAAGGCAGACTCATTCAGACATTTTCTCAGTTACGAAATATTTCATTCTCTAAAACATACAAACGTCCATGGATGGCCCTTTTAATATTGCAAAATTTTCTACAATGCTTCCCCGAAGTTCTAGTTTTCATACCTTTAAAAGAAAGGTAAACAAATAATTTAAAATGCCACAATCTTCCTCTTCCTCATCATCTTCCGTATCTGATTGGTGAAATGAAGTAACAAACTTTGCTGCAAATTCTATTACTCTCTCCACAGCTGGCTCACGTTTATAGACCACCATAGCATACTTAAGGTAATGAACAAACTCCTCATGAAAAATGGTCTTATCATCCATCTGAAAGACAAAAAGAAACCCTTCACAAACTGCATTGATATAATCCCTTTTTCCCAAGAGTACCCTAAGACTGATGAAAGCACCACTCATAATTACTCACACTGAAATCATTATTTAGTAAACTCTCAGGTGAGTTTCCAAACTGTTGAAGGAAAAATATTTGCACAAATTTCTCTCCAGAGCAATTTACTTCTCCAAGGAAGAAAACAAACATGAATTTTGACAGTGAAAGGATCCCTTTCATTTTTTTTTTTTTTTAAATACCCTTGGGGGTGCCTGGGTGGCTCAGTCGGTTGAGTGACCGACTTCAACTCAGGTCATGATCTCGCGGTCTGTGAGTTCG